ACGTAATTAATGGAGAATTATGTGCAATATGATGCCTTCTCCTTGACTACGTTTGAGCATAAGCCATACTGCAAGTTATTAGTCAGTTAGTTGTTAGTAGCTCTATTTGAAAGTATAGGTTGCATTCGTTAGTGGCTAGGTCAGTGGCTGTTGCGTTAACTCTTTGTGTTCTGCGATTACGACTGAAACATGAAGTGCAAGGAATACCGTATCACTCACACCAAACACTTCACAGTTAGTGCCGGAGAAAGCGATAGAACATTCACAGTATTGAGTGCGGTTGGTGACCATGCATGTACCACCGTTAAGACATTCAAGCGGTTCCGGAAATTCTTCGCATTTCGTCTGAATTGAAACTTTTATGCATTAGTGACCTTAAAGTAGCGCTAAGCTTTACGAGAATAGCGCCTACGGATCAAAGGAAGAAAATGTGTTGGATTCATGAAGCCACGCCCATTGGACGAGTTTTCATAGCTACGACTGGTCAAGGGACAACTCGTCCGGTGGGTGAGACGACAAGATCACGTGAGGGTCATTCTCCATAAGTACTGTACCAGTTCTCTTTCGCAGTGTACGCCTCCATAACCGGTCTGACATATACAGTGGGCCGCATGGTCATGGTCATCTATTATGCAACTGCCTCCATTTTCACATGTAAAATTGGCACATAGGTCCTGAAAAGTGGATTGTCTAAGTGATACGAAAATCAATTATCTACCCAACCCGTATTGCTCAGTTATATCGTTTCCATTTTGACGAAATGTGTCACATATGTTGAGGGCTGTCAATGGTTCCTTACACCTTAACCCCTACCTCCCATGGGAACTTGAAGGTTACATTGGGCGACTGAATAGGTAGGGATTGTTGTGCCCGATTATTAAAGTAGGTATGGTAATCGGTTTGTCAGTAAAGGAAGGAGAGCTGATAGAACTGCTGGAAATCCTTGAAATCACGTTAGTCATATGGCTAAGGATTACGCCCAGCCCCTAAATTCTCATTGGTTAGCTCTCTCTCTCTCTGGTTCCTTAGAGGTATGGCTAACCAATCAGAACGTCAAGCAGAATGTAACCTCCTTTATACGATCAGCACGATATGTGGCTTCAAGACCGGCGCTATCGCAAAATACGAGGGCATTGTGATGGCAATGCATTTGAAACCGTGCAAATTAAGTCTTTTCTGTTCAAAACGGGGCTAGGTCTCATGCGGGGGTGGAGAGACTCCAACTCCAGAGTGTGTGACCATTCCCTTCTCGCGAGCTTCTGTCCCGTTTAGGCTTAGTTGTGAAACTTTTCTGGTTAAGTCTTGCACCTCAGCCGGTCACATAAACCCTTATTAGATATAACTTAGGTTATATGCTAGGTAATATACCCTGCGACTGAATAGTTCCAAATTGAAAGTTGGATGGTCACTGGTCGATTAAATGAAAGAGCGTTGCTGAGGCGCTATCGCAACATACGGAGGCATCTTTTAGGACTAAGCCTAAGAGGGAACAGAAGCTCCGCGAGAAGGGAATGGTCTACACACCTTGGAGTCTCTCCACCCCCGCCTGAGACCTAGCCCCGTTTTGAACAGAAAAGACTTAATTTGCACGGTTTCAAATGCATTGCCATCACAATGCCCTCGTATTTTGCGATAGCGCCGGTCTTGAAGCCACATATCGTGCTGATCGTATAAAGGAGGTTACATTCTGCTTGACGTTCTGATTGGTTAGCCATACCTCTAAGGAACCAGAGAGAGAGAGCTAACCAATGAGAATTTAGGGGCTGGGCGTAATCCTTAGCCATATGACTAACGTGATTTCAAGGATTTCCAGCAGTTCTATCAGCTCTCCTTCCTTTACTGACAAACCGATTACCATACCTACTTTAATAATCGGGCACAACAATCCCTACCTATTCAGTCGCCCAATGTAACCTTCAAGTTCCCATGGGAGGTAGGGGTTAAGGTGTAAGGAACCATTGACAGCCCTCAACATATGTGACACATTTCGTCAAAATGGAAACGATATAACTGAGCAATACGGGTTGGGTAGATAATTGATTTTCGTATCACTTAGACAATCCACTTTTCAGGACCTATGTGCCAATTTTACATGTGAAAATGGAGGCAGTTGCATAATAGATGACCATGACCATGCGGCCCACTGTATATGTCAGACCGGTTATGGAGGCGTACACTGCGAAAGAGAACTGGTACAGTACTTATGGAGAATGACCCTCACGTGATCTTGTCGTCTCACCCACCGGACGAGTTGTCCCTCGACCAGTCGTAGCTATGAAAACTCGTCCAATGGGCGTGGCTTCATGAATCCAACACATTTTCTTCCTTTGATCCGTAGGCGCTATTCTCGTAAAGCTTAGCGCTACTTTAAGTCACTAATGCATAAAAGTTTCAATTCAGACGAAATGCGAAGAATTTCCGGAACCGCTTGAATGTCTTAACGGTGGTACATGCATGGTCACCAACCGCACTCAATACTGTGAATGTTCTATCGCTTTCTCCGGCACTAACTGTGAAGTGTTTGGTGTGAGTGATACGGTATTCCTTGCACTTCATGTTTCAGTCGTAATCGCAGAACACAAAGAGTTAACGCAACAGCCACTGACCTAGCCACTAACGAATGCAACCTATACTTTCAAATAGAGCTACTAACAACTAACTGACTAATAACTTGCAGTATGGCTTATGCTCAAACGTAGTCAAGGAGAAGGCATCATATTGCACATAATTCTCCATAATTACGTCCCAAAGGAAACCCTGCTGCAATCAATTATTCCGGGACCTTGAAAGGTGCTTCGGTGGCAAGGGGCGTAGCACATCGAAAGCGCTCCGCCCCCAAAAGCGATCCGCCCACCAGTTTACTTGTTGATTTGGACGAGCTGCGTGGCCAGCAGCGGCGCAAATGGAGCATCTCGATTAAAGCGTGGTTTGGCATGGTGCCATCAAACGCGTTGCGGTGAACTCGTTCATACGTCCACTTTCTGAGCTGTTACCTGTTCATGAGTGAAAACCAACGGCCAAAAAAGGGGTCCCGTTTTGCGTTTTCTTGACGGATTTTTCTGCTTTTTTCGCCAGTGGCGTACCATTAGTACCACGTCACACTAAACCCTTCTTCAATTTATTCGTAATCGCTGCCTTTAACCATTGAAGCCTCAAGCGCATATCGCACAGTGGTTATGTCGCTTGGAAATGATATTGGAGGTGCGGTGCTACAAGAAGAGAAACTACACCAATAGCAGAATAGACGGACTGAAGCGTGAGGAGTGCGAGCACGCAGCACCCCTCGCGTAATCGCGGCTTGCGATCTGCAAAGTTCGTAGGAGGTATCATAAGGCCCACGCTCTGTTCATCGATTACAAGGACGTAATATGTAAATCTTTGTAGACCAGTTGCCCTTAGCGGACCACATAGGGATAAGTCCAGAAATCGTCAGACTAAAATCAGACTCTTGTCGGGCTACTACTTCAATGCCCACACTTACACTGATCCACGGTCGAAGGAGAGCCAGTCGACTATTTTCAATCCTCTCACTCCAAAAACGTAGCGGCGAGGCATCACGGGGGTTATGATCACGATGGGCGCTAGAATGCAAAGTGAATAATTTTCATGAAGAAAAACAGGACACTACAAGGGAGGTCGTTCACAGGGTGTGCCAAGCTTTTTCAAAATGGTTTTGCATGACATTGGGGCACATGTGGGAACCACAGAACCATGGTTCATTTTTCCTGAACGGCCCTCTGAATACCAAAAAGGGGTCCCTAGTTCGATTCCTCGTGGTGACAAATTTTTGCATTTCGAGTTGACGTTTCAAAATTCTTTCAAAAAATTTGCGCGCAAAATGGAGATAGCTTGAATAATCAGCCTACCAATCGATATCAGCCGTCAGTAACCCTTACAAAGATTTTGATTGAAAACTGGTGAAAAAGGTGTGCACCAAAACGGCCACTGTGATGTCACACTTTTCCACCAGTTTTTCAATCAAAGTCTATTTGTAAGGGTTACTGACGGTCCTAATCATGAATATGGTACTAATTATTCATGCTAACTCCATTTTGCGCGAATTTTGAACGTCAACTCGAAATGCAAAAATTTGTCACCACGAGGAATCGAACTAGGGACCCCTTTTGGTATTCAGAGGGCCGTTCAGGAAAAATGAACCATGGTTCTGTGGTCCCCATATGTGCCCCAATGTCATGCAAGAAACCATTTTGAAAAAGCCTGGCGCCATCCCATAACACGACTCCTTGTAGGAGTGGGCAGCAGCAGCTCCAATAGGCTGCAATCGATACGTATGTTTCGCGCACTAGGTACCCCGAGGCGCTTGCTGCTCGCATCCCACCCACACGTCTAAGTTAAACAGGCGTTGAGCGTACGCTATTCTTGGCGATAAGACAGTAGTTCCTTCGCAGTGGCGAATTGAGTTAAACAGGCGTTGAGGGTACGCTATTCTTGGCATAAACAGTTGTCCTTCCGCAGTGTATGCAATTCAAGTTGAATTTTAGAGCTCTTGTGCTGTCATCACATGCAAAGGTGGTGGTACATGTGTGAACGATACGAATCTACAAGGCCACTGCATTTGTCCACCTGACCGGACCGGAGAGTTCTGTGAGACTGGTAAGTCTTTGAAAAATAGTGTTATGGGACTCCTGACGCACTCTTTCGAGTAAACCTTACAGTACTACGGTAGAGTCGTCCTACACTATGAACTGCGCTACATCGGTAGTGGGGGGACGGTATTTGCTCCTTTCTTGAGCACGGGTCGGCTTTCATTATCAAATTCTGGTCCAAGGATTGCAGAGAACATCAGAAAGTTCACCTAGCCACCTCCCCCCCCCCTTTCCGACCTAGCTCAAAAACTCCTCTACTTACTCGTGATTGATGGAGGAAGGGTGTCGCTTACAGTGAAAGGAACCCGGAGATAGCCGTGCATATTAGTAGACACTAATCTGACAATGGAATGGGAAGGAGAGGCGTGGAGGTGGTGTAGGAAAGGGTGAGGATCGGGGCAAGCGGAGTAGGGAAACTCACTCCGTTTTCACTTTCTTCACTTTTAGGCCGATGTCAGACTTTGCGAATCGCGCGATTCGCTAGCGTCTGCGGTCGCGTCGCGGCCAGTGAATCACTCAATTGGCTGGTACCGCAACGCGACCGCGGACGCTAGCGAATCGCGCGAATCGCTAGTAGCGAATCGCGCGATTCGCAAAGTCTGACATCGGCCTTACCTTCCTTTCCCCTTATCAGACTAGGGTCTTCTAACCAAGAAGAAGCCGCGGATTTTGCGCTTTTTCAAAGGAATTTTCATTGATGACAAAATTTCAGAAAAAACATCATCATTCAATCTTTACTTCAACGGCAACCCATCTACTCAGAAAA